CACCCCTTCAAAGCCATGGGGTCGCCGAGGGGTTGAAACACCCAAAGCTCCGTGACGGGCAGGACCAGGACGTGCCAGTTCTTTTTAAATATGTATTTCTTTACCGGTCTTATGACTACCTACCAGACCACCCCAACCCAACCCGAAGACCCGAATTTCGGGTTGGGGGGGGGTGCGTGTTCCATATGTGTTTTCTCGATGTTCCCCGACCCCCCCCCCACTGGAAATGGAGGTAAATTTGAGGCCTTCGGGTTGGGTTGGGGTGGTTTGGTGGGTGATCTTGGAGCTCATGGTTGAATACGCGCTGTTATGTCCCAGCAAGAATTCCAAAACGCTAAAAAGCAGATCCATCTTTTTGCGTTTGCATCTGCGTGCCTTCAGCGATTTCGGTCCAGTTGGTCGTTTCGTTTAACATTGCCGTGAACGACGTCCTCAATTCCTTCTCTTGGCGTGCGGTCTTCAGTCCTCCGGCTCTTTCATTCCGACTGTTCGCCGTCCTGGGGCTCGCCCTCCTCCTGGGGCGTCGGGCCTCCTGGCCCGATGGCCGATTGTCCATTTGGGGCCATCGGGCCTGTTGCGGGCGGGGGTTAGAGCGGGCGTGTTTTTTTGTTTTGCTTTCCCAGGGAGGACGGCGACAGAAGCAAAACATGAGAGTGAAGGCGATAGGGAAGACAAGGAACAGCCTTCGACCAGAAAGCAGAACACGCTAAACAAATGATGATTCACAGCAATGGGCTCAAACGCAATAGAAACAATTATCCCGGCAAAGCAACCTAACAGCGATGTGTATAAGCATATCTGGAAGCATTCCCCTTAAGATTCAGGTGAGAATCCAGTTGTAGAATTCTGCTGTTCTCGCAGTCGCAGTCGCATTCGCAGTGACAGTCGCAGTGGCAACGGCCTTAGGATCCAATGGAATCCTAAGGATTCCTGTGGATCCCTAAGGCATCCTTAGGCATCCTTAGGAATCCATAGGAATTCTTAGGAAACCTTAGAAATCCTTAGGAATCCGGATTCCTAGGGATTCTCCCGGATTCCTAAGGATTCCTAGGGAATCCTAAGGATTCCGAAGGATTCGCCTGCCTCGGCCTCAGCCTCAGCCTGCCTCAGCCTCAGCCTGCCTCAGCCTCAGCCTCAGCCTCAGCCTGTCTCAGCCTCAGCCTGCCTCAGCATCAGCCTCAGCCTCAGCCTCAGCCTGCCTCGGCCTGCCTCGGCTTCAGCCTCAGCCTGCCTCGTCCTCAGCCTCAGCCTCAGCCTGCCTCAGCCTCAGTCTCAGCCTGCCTCAGCCTCAGCCTGCATCGGCCTCAGCCTCAGCCTGCCTCAGCCGCAGCTTGCCTCAGCCTCAGCCTCAGCCTCAGCCTCAGCCTCAGCCTGCCTCAGCCGCAGCCTCAGCCTCAGCCTGCCTCGGCTTGCCTCAGCCTCAGCCTCAGCCTGCCTCGGCCTCAGACTCAGCCTCAGCCTCATCCTCAGCCTCTCAGCCTCAGCCTGCATCAGCCTCAGCCTCAGCCTCATCCTGCCTCAGCCTCAGCCTCTGTTGCCTCAGCCTCATCCTGCATCAGCCTCAGCCTCAGCCTGACTCAGCCGCAGCTTGCCTCAGCCTCATCCACTGCCTCAGCCTCAGCCTCAGCCTGCATCAGCTTCAGCCACAGCCTCAGCCTGCCTCGGCTTGCCTCAGCCTCAGCCTCAGCCTGCCTCGGCCTCAGCCTCAGCCTGCCTCAGCCTCAGCTCAGCTCAGCCTCAGCCTCAGCAGCCTCAGACGTGCCTGCCTCAGCCTCAGCCTGCCTCCTCAGCCTCAGCCTGCCTCAGCCTCAGCTGCATCAGCCTCAGCCTCAGCCTCAGCCTGCCCTCAGCATCAGCCTCAGCCTCAGCTCAGCCTGCCTCGGCTTGCCTGCCTCAGCCTCAGCCTCGGCCTCAGCCTGCCTCAGCCTCAGCAGCTCAGCTCCTGCCTCAGCCTCAGCCTGCATCAGCCTCAGCCTCAGCCTCAGCCTGCCTCAGCCGCAGCTTGCCTCAGCCTCAGCCACAGCCTCAGCCTCAGCCTCAGCCTGCCTCAGCTTCAGCCTCAGCCAGCCTGCCTCGGCTTGCCTGCCTCAGCCTCAGCCTGCCTCGGCCTCAGCCTCAGCCTCAGCCTGCCTCAGCCTCAGCGTCAGCCTCTCAGCCTCAGCCTGCATCAGCCTCAGCCTCAGCCTGCCTCAGCCTCAGTCTCAGCCTGCCTCAGCCTCAGCCTGCCTCAGCCTCAACTACAGCCTGCCTTGGCCTCAGCCTGCTTCAGCCTCAGCCTCAGCCTGCCTCAGCCTCAGCCTGCCTCAGCCTCAGCCTCAGCCTGCCTCGGCGTGCCTCAGCCTCAGCCTCAGCCTGCCTCGGCCTCAGCCTGCCTCGGCCTCAGCCTGCCTCAGCTCGGGCATTCAAAATATTGCACAGGACTGGTGTTTTGGGAAAACGAACATGACGAAATGGCCCACAATTGGCTCCGGGCAATCAAAATCTGGTAATTACACGAATGGTGTTCCGGGAACACGAAGAACACGAAGTGGCGTACAGTTGGCTCCGGGCATTCAAAATGTGGCCTGGGAGTGGTGTTCTGGGAACACGAAGAACACGAAGTGGCCTATAGCTGGCTCCGGGCCTTCAAAATGTGGCCTGGGAATGGTGTTCTGGGAACACGAAGAACACGAAGTGGTCTATAGTTGGCTCCGGGCATTCAAAATGTGGCCTGGGAATGGTGATCTGGGAACACGAAGAACACGAAGAGGCCTACAGTTGGCCCCGGGCATTCAAAATGTAGCCTGGGAGTGGTGTTCTGGGAAGACGAAGAACACGAAGTGCCCTACAGTTGGCTCCGGGCATTCAAAATGCGGCCTGGGAATGGTGTTCTGGGAACGCGAAGAACACGAAGTGGCCTACAGTTGGCTCCAGGCATTCAAAATGTGGCCTGGGAATTGTGTTCTGGAAATGGATTCCTAAGGATCCATAAGAATTCCAAAGGATTCCCAAAGATTCCTGGGGCTGCACTTTTGTCCGGTTCCTTGTCCGGATCCCGCGGGATCCCTTGTCCGGATCCCGCGGAATCCCTTGTCCAGACCCCATTGGGGCGTCAAGATGCTCTCTTTTGAGACCACTAGAAACCTATCAGCAGAAGCTGTTAGGTAACATAGCTCAGAACGCAAAATCTGCTGTCGCGCGAAACTCGCGTCTCCAGCTTGTCAACAAACCAACATGGAAAACTGGCTTAAACACACACACACACACACACACACACACACACACACACACACGCGCACACACACACACCCAAGGCGCATTCAAGAAGAATCGCATGCAAGGCCCAACGGGCCTGAGCCGAGACGGATGCGCGGCTCGAAGCCGCAGCGCGCGCGAGGAGGCATGCGTGCGTGCAGCGACGATGCGAATAGTGCAAGAGTGTGGAGGACAAGGGGGACGGGGAACGTGAGGAGGAAGGATTCTAGATCGTTCGCTTACAAGCCTGTTACGAACCACTTACGAATAATTCACGAACCACTTACTAAGCATTGCTCAAGAGGAACTACACATCTTATACATGACCTAGCTCAATCAAAAATGCCCTAAGTGGTGAGGGCTAGTAAGTCGGCGAATCATGTACTAACCACGTACGAGGGGCCTACTAACTACTATAAAGGTAAGCAGACTTGGTGACAACTTAGATCTGGCTAGGAATCCCCCTAACTTTTGACTAGGTGATGTATCCACTTGCGGTGGTGACAACCCGCCTACAACCTGCTTGCAACAAGCTTTCGACCCAAAATCCGCTAACCACTTACTAGGCGGCGTAAGCATCTAAGCAAGGCGTTGTGGTGAAGGCCCCCAAAAGGCGGGCAATGGCGAAATGCCCTCCGTCGCGATTTTTCCGCGACGCGAGGATCGGCGGCGCGCCGAGGGGGAAGCGAAAGGGAGGTTTCTCAGCAGGAAGCGGAGCTCCTGAAAAGGCCCCTGGCGATACTCGCAGGGGGCCGAAAACCTTCGGAGACCTCTGGAACTTCGGAGGGCGAAGCCACCACCTCTGCTCCCTCCCAGGGCACGCCGCCGAAAGGAGGCGGGGAGAGGCCCGAGGAGCCACGGGGCACCAGCAGGCGGCACGGGGGAGTGCAAACGACGGGCGCGCGGGAGGCATTCGGGCTCAGGCGCGGCACCCGCCCTCCCAGGCGGCGGATGGGGATCCGCGGGCGGCGGGCGGGTGCGCGGCGAAAGCCGCGCGCGCAGCGAGGGGGCGGGGTGCCCATCGGCCAGTGGGCGCCGTCGAAAAGGAGGAGGAGGAGAGAGGGGGGCGGCATGTGTGGGAGAGGGCGAGAAGTTGATCAGCGGCGTTGAGATCCCAAGGTGGTGGTCTGGTACGACTCAGGAGAACCAGGACGCAACTGTCAATTCGATCCGCGGCGCTGGAGTACCTGAAAATGTTGAGACTGCTGCCTTTCAATTGGGCAGTCCCCGCCAAACAGATCTTGTAGGGACATACGAGGCGGAAACTTGGAAGGAGGGCTTATTGCGACACCTTTGATGCATCTTGGCTTTCCACCGGTCCTCCTCCTCCTCCTTCCAACCCCCTCCTCCTCCCTTCCCCTCTCCTCCTTTCCCCTTTCCTCCCCTCCTCCTCCTCCTCCCTTCCCTCTCTTTCCTCGTCCTCCTCTTCCTCCTCCTCCTCCTCCTCCTCCTCCTCCTCCTCCTCCTCCTCCTCCTCCCTACTCATTTCCTCATCTCCTCACCTCCGCCTGGGCAACGGCGTCGGCCAGGGCCGCCGCCCAAGGTGCCCAGAGGACCGGTCTCCGCTCGCTGGCCCGGCGCGCGCCGCTGCGCTCCGTAGCTTGCGCCGACGACTGCGCAGACAACGAAGACGGAGACGGAGACAAGGACGGCGTCGACGACTGCTTAACTAAGAGACCGCGACGTCGGCTTCGGACGGCCTCGAACGGCCTCGGAAGGCCTCGGACGGTCAACGAAGGCCTCCGATGGCCTCCGCGCCGCCGCTCCTCCAGCGGCTCCCACTGCAGCGTCCCGGACTCCGGCCGCACCACGTGGAAGCGGCGGGAGCCGACCACCTCGGGGGCGGCCGGCCGGGCCTCCAGGGCCTCCGCCGCCCGAATGCCCCAGTAGGGGGCCACATGGCCACATGCGGACCCTACCCCTACAGCCCACGATTTCCGAGGGGGAGGGTGGGGCTCACTTCGTTCGGGAGCTCCCGAGCGAAGTGCCCTCAGAAATCGGGAGGTGTAAGGGTAGGGTTCGCATGTGGCCCCCTACCCAGGCCAGCCGGGCCTCCGCTCGGGTCCGGGCGTCGCATTTTTGTTTTCGCAACGGGCATTGTCGCCCAATTTTGGCAAGCATTCTTCGCGGCCAGGATTCACGGGCAAAGATCGCGACCTCGTCGCGCCGCCCCGGCAGTGCCTGGGGCTGCCTGCCCCAGCACGTCCCCGTGCCAGCCAGTCGGGCCTCTCCCATGCGGTTGTCGGTCCCTGAGATCCGCGGTGCAAGTTTCTGCACACGCAGCGTTTTCGCCCCTGGGGCCCTCACATCTCGATCCGGCTCGAAAACTGACACAGAAAGATGGGGTCTAGGCCTCCAGGCGTGATTTGTCGGGATGTCGCGACTGTGTTTGCAATACGTTTAGGTCGGGCATGTCCACCTACAGGCGCATTTTTTAAATAGTCATCAAAAAAACTATGCACATACACCGGTTCTGGCCAGGCCCATCCTGAGCCCAGGATCGGTGCATACGCCCTCTTACCTTGGCCAGGAAGGCATATGCACCGATCCTGGGTCAAGGATGGGCGTTGTCAGGATCGGTGCGTGTGCATAGTTCTCTTCCCCCGATGAAAATAATTTTTAAAAATCGCCCTCCGAGCACTTTTTTGCTATTCTTCACTTCTTCTCCTGTAGAGAGACAGGCCCGACTGAACAATGCGTCGGACCTCGGGGTCTGCTCGGCAAGGTGGCCGGCCACCTCGGGCGGCAGACCGGGACTGCCGCACCGTGCCCTTGGCGACTCGGGGAGCCCAAAGCGGCTGCATTTTCTTATCTAGGGAAACAAAAAGTGGCACAAACATAAAAACTCGGAGGTCCGCGCGGACCTCCGAGTTTCTATGTTTGTGCCACTTTTTGTTCCCTTATTATCAGAAGTGCACTTGTAACTTCCGCTGGCCTCCGCCGGCAGAGCAACCCCCGTTTTACTCCCGCCAACTTCCGCCGCCCTGCCCGCCACCTTCCGCCGAGGAAGAGGTGCACACTCCTTCGATCCCTCGAAGTCGAGGCCCTCTCTGGAACGCCCAAAATTGCAGCAGCCGAGCAGCTCGAGCCCGGAGTACGGTCGACAACTGTCCACGCGGAACACGACGGGTGACACGACCACATCGTGAATCAAGAGGTCGCTAGGCAAACTGGGAACAAAACGCAAGCCGACCTGCAAGAGGCCAACTCGCGCTTTGAACTGTGGCCTGAACAAGTTGTCACTGCAGCTGCGACAGGAGGAGAGAGGACATACATACATATATGTGAATACTTATATATATATATATATATATATATATATATATATATATACACACACGCACAAGTATCCGCCACCGTGCCGCTGGGCACGGGGTGGGCGTGTCCTCGGGTCAGTTACCCAATCCTTGGGGCCTCAGTCGTCGAAGGGCCCGGACCCAAAATTCCAAAATCTCTTGGGGCTTCCCGCGCGCCCCCTGGCCTGTGCTCAGTGGTGCCGGGCGAGCTGCTCGGGCCCAAGACGGCCCCAAGACGGGCCCCAAAAGGCCCCGAAGACGGCCCAAGAGGGCCCCGAATCGCCGAAAGATCCGCCCAAGACGCCGAAGATGGCCCCCGTGACGGCCCAAGAGGCCTCCAGGACGGCCCACGAGGCCTGGAAGAGGCCTCCCAAGAAGAGGCCTTCCAAGAAGGCCCCAAGAGGCCCAAATCATTTACTGCCCTGGAGGTTTTTCATATTGTTTGGCCTGCTCATCTTTTCGGTTCACTGACGCTTCAAGACGGAGGCCGGCCTCCAAGGCCGCCCTAAGATGGCCCAGAACGGCCCCAAGACGGTCCAAAGACGGCTCAAAAAGGCCCCAAGACGATCCCAGGCGCCCAAGACGGACCCCAAAGAGGCCCCAGCGAGGGAACACGAACCGCAAATCTGAGCCTTCCGTCCCAAGGAGGCCCCGAGAGGCGCCCAGAAAGCCCCAAAGAGGCCCCCAAGAGGCCCCAAGAGGCCCCCGAGAGGCCCCACGAGGCCCCAAAACAGCCCCCAAGAAGCGTCCAAACTGCTTCCCAAAAGGGCCCCCGAGAGGCCTTCCACGAGATCCCAACGAGCATCCAACAAGCTCCATACCCGCAACCCAAGCGCGGTGGCGGGATGGGCAAAAGGCAGTGAGATAGCAATCAAGGCCCCCGAGCCCGTGATATGCTCGACTAACAGGGGATGTGTCGACCCCTATCCCAGTCTTCGTGGGATTTTCCAATGCGCCAAACATCTGGGGCCCAACCCTGGGATGTGCGATGGGGGGGCGCCCATCCTCGATAGGGGTGCGACCGAATAGCCCCCTCTGGGCATGCCCAAGCCCTCCTCCTTCTCTGAGCGGCTTCGTTTTTCGTCGAAACGTCGGGGGCTCCAAAGGCGGGGGCGCCCCGCAAAATCCCCCATCACCCCTCCCTGGGGGGGGGATTCCAACCATTGGGGACCAACTGCAACCATCAAGGACGGATTCTACACATTGGGGTATCAATCCAAGCGAATTGGTACGAATTCTACTCGCTTTGGGAGCTCCTAAGATCTTCTGCGAGGGCAGGGCGGATAGGGTTCTCCGCAACCGAGTCCCCAATCATGCCTTTGCTGAATACGTGCGTATATTTGACGGACAGAATAGCCTCTACTCGCCCAAATCACCAGCGCAACCATGGAACCAGCCGATCGGCCCCCGCCTCCTCTCTTGCGGGTGCAGAATTCTCCGAGCCCCCGAAGGCAGCGCGTCCAATGGGAGCGTTCCAGATGCGGGGACGCGGGGGGCCCCCGTGCCCACGGGGAGGGAAGGGGGACCAAAGTAATCATTGCCCCCAGCTGCCGCCGCCGAGTCGTTCGGCCCTGCGCCCTTTTCCGCGGGCGCGGGGCTTTCCGAGCCCGCGAGGGCGACGGGGAAGGGGGGCCGGGCCGAACGAGTCACCTTGCCCCCCGCCGCCGCCGCCGAGTCGCTCGACCCTGCGGGCGCGAGGCTTTCCAGGCCCGCGAAGGCGACGCTTCCCATGGATTCGTTTCGCCGTTTCGCGCCTGAGCCCGCTGCGATCCCTCGACGAGGCCGCGACGGAGAACTGAGCGCCCCGTCTAGAAGCTGCGCGCGTGGCCAACGATCGGCGGAGAGGGTGCGGGGCAGGATGAAGAGGAAACTTGGACAGCGCACTCTGATCTAACATTATGTGATGCGTGATATGTTCATATAACTGCATGCTGTCCCACAGCAAGGTACACTAATGCATGGGCAATCCAGACGCATGCTCAGCAACGACACGTTGACGCCACACTATGTCTAAAGCACTTATCCCTTGCCCCATCGAGAACTCTGGGCCAAGGCCAACCTCTTCCCCCCGCGACGACGCGGGCCCCCATAAGGCTTGCCATGCAGGCGAGCATATCCTTAGTAGTGGCCAATGGGCCTCCTCCATTTGTCTGGCCTACCGATGAGAAGGACAATCAATTGCTGCATCAGCCGTGGTGCCCCACCTAGAATTTCGATACGGTGGAAAAGATTGGACATCACATCAAGACTCCCATCGCTGAGAAAACTGACTGAAATTCTTCGGGTGGAACCTATCAGGCTTGCGCGCGAGAGCCCGAGCTGATGTGGCGAAGCTGCTCAGCGTCGCGAGGTCGGGAACAGGAATGGCCAAGGAGGGTAAGACAATATCCTTACCCTCCATCGGGCACTCAATCGCGCGCCATGCCTGCCCCCGCGCGCCCCTGTCATGCTGCAATATGTGAGGAAGTGAACTGGCGAACGACTCCCCGCAGCACGTGACCTCCTCATTCGCGAACTTCCCTGTCCTGAGGTGGCGGCGCGTCTGCTTCGCGCTGAATTCCACCTCTTCGTTTGGGCCAGCTGGGCCCCGGCGCTGGATCGACCCTCGACGAAACCCGGCGCAATCCAGGAACCTGCAAACATTATGCAGGGGCCCAGGAAGCCTCGGGTGCCAATCGAACTCCCCGGGCCCATGGTGCTCCGAAGCGCCCAGGAAACCGCCGCGCAGAATGGGCGCCGGAAATCGCCCCCTGCCCGCCGTCGACGGAATGGCCCGTCTCGCTCGGGGAGTTGATCCCATTTGTCTGAAAAGGCGCAGGAAATACTTCCCAAGATCCCCTTTCGAAGCCAACGCCTTGATGTTATTGGGCCTGTTGGGGGTTTGCAGGGGGGGCCCGCCAGGGGGCGCGTTCCTGCGCTGCTTCGCGGCAAGCAGCTTGGAGAGCGCAACCCACTGAAACTCCTTCGGGGCCCCGCCTGGTAGTCCCGCGGCGCCCGTGCATTGGCCTGCGCTGACGACCTCCTTCCAAGCCCCAGGGGCCCAGGGGCCCACTGGGCGCGCACGCGATTGAGGACTTCGAGACCTTCTTTGCGCTCGTCTCCGGAGAGTGCGCAAGCCCCCCAACTACTAACGCGGCGCATCTCCAAGAACTCTTCAAGAAAACGCCCGAGGTCCGCATATTCGGGGGGCGCTTCACCGGGTCCTCTGGCGGGCCGGTGGGGGGCCTCCTGGTCGGCCTTTGGGACTCGCACTTTGATTTTTTCTGTCGCCCGTATCTATTCGCCTGCAACGTGACTGGCCTACGCGGGCTGGACGGAGCATGCGCGTCGACGGAGACGACGGGCGCTGCGAAACCGATCGGCCTGCTGACTGCCAAATAGTCCAGGGCCGACGAGTTGGCCCAACATGAGTGGGCTCCTCTGCGGCTCGGATGACACACCCTGGCTGCTATGGAACGCGAGGGCACAGCGACGGCGGGCTCACGTTGAAATCGTCGCCAGACACAAAAGGCACACAGTGTGCGAAACAAACCTTTCACACGTTACTGCGAACTGCTTTGTTGGTACCTGACATCCCCTCCGGGCCCTTCAAGTTGACCGCGTAACGCGTCGGGGCCCCGATAGATGCGCTGCGGAGGTGTCGCATCGAGGCCCTCCCTGGGTAGACCGAAGCATCCACTCCTGGCGGCGCCCTTGTGTCAAGGTGCCCCTTTGCTGCTATGAGTGCGCCCGATGAAGGCCCCCCCTCATTTCCGCGGAGACCCCTCGGCGCCCATCAGCGCGCCATCCGTTCTTCCGAAGT